TAGGGTGAACGCTGGGCTGATGCTCTCTGGAAGGCTGGGTTGGGGCTTGCGGAGTCTGTGTTCGTTAAAATTTCAGAAGACTGAGCTGCTGCTTTGTTCAAAAATGTTTCGCTTATTTTAGTCTTCCTACCAATCGAACATGCCCTTTTGGTCCTCAGAAAATTTATAGGACACAGTCCAATAGTTCTGTTTTCAATTTAAAGCATCATTTTTGTTTCAACGAGATAAAATAGCTTCAGGATTAAAAGCATCTATGAGAAACATGTAGCAAAGTGGGTCGCTCATAAAAGGTGGTAAAAGAGATTTAGAAATGGAGTTTGAAGCCTCAAACTTATTAGCAAAGCAGGAAAGCAATTTTCATTTTTCAAAGACCGTTGAAGACAGATAGATCATGGTAATGAAAACCTACACTTGGCTTCCAAACTTCCCATTTTTGTTCCTGCATGAAACCTTTTAACAGTATCTCTAACAAATAGCAGTTTGACTTTGAGTTTGCCTTCCCACCCATGGTAGGACTGTTTATGGGCCATACATTCTTCACCTGGGGGAGACCAGGAACTTGACTGTCAGTTCCTTATGAATTAAAGACACAGATGAGAACCCTTTTTCTATGTAAACTCAGGCTTCCTGGGATTGTGGGGAGGGAGGGGGAAGCCAAGAGCTTTCCTGGAAATCCCATTGTGGCTCTTTCCCTCGAATGTAAATGCAGTGCCAGTTACACAGAATCAGAGGGAACAACACCAAAACAGGCAGAGAGCTTCCAAAATTCGATGAATGTGCAGTTAATTCCTTCCATTCAGTCACTTGGGATCACGATCAAATTCACCATGTGGCCAACACGCTTCACCAAATGCATGATACCGACTAACAATTTGAGATTTGATCTACATTGAATATGTTCATGCTAAATCCTTGTCTATGAATCTCCTCCCACAGCCTTTAAAGAGCTGATGACTGAAGTATGTAAAGTAATCGGTAAGTCAGGGGGTTCTCACGGTGGTGCTTTCTGGCTCCCTCTTGCTGGGATAGACTTGATTATCAGGGGGCACAATGTGCTTTTGTCCTTTTCAGCTTTGTCAGCTACAGACCTGAAAATCCAGAGCACCGCGGAGGGGATACGGCTCTACTCCTTCGTGACTTACTACTTGGATGATTTGAAAGTCAACTGGTCCCACAAGTAAGTAAGAGGGAAATGCTTTGACCACTGGCGAAATCCTTTTCCCCCAGTCTCTGACACCCTTGGCATCTCAGGGTCTGACCTTGAAGGTCACAGGGCAGAAGCCCCCCACTCATCCCTTAGCATGAGGTTATCACTCTCTCAGAGGACACATATTGTGAGGCCGGGAATGGCGACTGCTCATCTGTCTTTGTAACCTGAGATATTATTATAGTTCAGAGTCACCTGTATAACCGGAACCCTACCCCTACCCACATCCCCGCCAGCAGCCGGCTTCGGCCATTGCTGCTTTACCAGGCATCCAGAGCCAGAGCTCTGCCCCTGCCTTGCTACATACAACTTGTTCTGGAACAAGATCAAAGCAATGTGCTCCAGGAAGCACCAGATTTCCTCTTTATATGAATTAATCTATAGGAGTGCTCTAGTTACTTCCATAGCACTTGACTGGCTTGTAATGACCATGTTTCCTGTCCACCGGAAGAAGCCTTTGGAGGCTCCAAGATGATGCTGAGGAAATGTATTTAGACCAGCTCAGTGCTCAGTCGTTTCTAGATAGAGCATATAATCAAGAACCCAAGGTTCTAAAGGAACAAGTTCAAGCTGCACTGAAGGGACTGGTGAAAAACAAGACTCTAAGAACTGACAGAATACCAACTGGAGATGTTTCCGAAAAAACAAATGGTTCTCTGGAAGCTTCTATGCTAAGAAACTTGGAAGACAGCTACCTGACCAACCACCAGGAAGAGATCTATATGTGTACCCATTAAAAAAAGAAAATGAGCCAACAAAATGTGGAAATGATCAAGCAATATCATTAGTATCACATTAAGTAAAATTTTCTAGAGATTCTTTGTAAGTGGTTGCACCTACCAGGATATCACCACAGAACTACCAGAAGTCCAAGCCAATTCTAAAGAGCAAGTGCAGTGAAGATAGATCTTGACTGACCGTAGACAGTATCAGAAGGATGTTTACTTGTGTTTTATGATGATAAAAAGCATCTAACTGTGTGGATCACAGCAAATTACGAATAGCATTGTCAAAACGAGAATTACAGACGCTCCATTGTGCTCTGAAATACAACCTGTACAAAGACCAGAGGCAGTCACTCAAGCAGAAAAATGGTTTGAAACCAGGTAAGCTGTGCCTCAAGGTTGTCTCTTTTCACCATACTCAGTATTTTTCTGTGCAAAAAATCCAAGAAGCTGGCTGTAGCAGAAGGATTAGCAGAAGACTCCTTCATAACCAGCAACATGCAGGTGATACAATCCTGCTTACTGAAAGGGAAGAGGTTGAAGCACTTGAAGATCAAAGGCTACAGCCTTCAGTAGGGACTGGACTTCAATATAAAGAAAACAAAATCCTCCCAATAAGAAACACCGTGGAAATGGAGAAACTCTTGAAGTTGCCGAGGATTTCCTTTTCCTCGGGTCAACACTCATGGAAGCAGCAGTGATGAAGTCAAATGATGTGCTGCTTTGGGGATAGCTGCTGAAAGGGGCCTATGTAAAGTGTTACATGTGAAAATGTTACTTTGAGAACGAAGGGGCCTCTGCCCACACCCTGGTATTGTCAGTGGCCTCGTATACATGTGAAGGCTGGTCAGTGAATAGTGCAGACCAAACCAAGCCTTTGAGCGGTAGCGCTGCTGAAGAATGTTGACCACACAATAGACTCCTAGAAGCCAGGATAGACCATGAACCTGCAGAGGAATGAGCCAGTCTGTCGGAGAAAAATACAGCCAGCGTGCGCTTAGAAATGAGGATGGATCACGAGGTGGCCAACGGATCACTGAAGACAAATGGGTGCATAAGCAATGTGGCGAAGAAAGCTGATGGGGCCGCCTATCAAAAAGTATAGCGTCTGGGGTCTTAAAGGCTTGAAGGTAATCAAGCGGCCATCAAGCTCAGAAGCAACAAAGCCCACATGGAAGAAGCACACCAGCCTATGCAACCACGAGGTGTCGAAGGGATCAGGTGTAAGGCATCATCAGAACAAAAAATCTTACCATAGTGAATGATGGGGGGAGTGTGGAGTGGAGATCCAAAGCCCATTAGTAGGCCACTGGAGATCCCCTTGCAGAGGGGTCTCGGGGAGGAGATGAGCCAGTCAGGGTGCGATGTAACAACGATGAGAAATACAACTTTCCTCTAGTTCCTAAATGTTTCCTCCCCGCTCCCACTACCATGACTCGAATTCGACCTTGCAAGGCTGGCTAGACCAGAGGATGTACACTGGTACAGATAGGAACTGAAAATCCAGGGAATCCAGGGTGGATGAGCCCTACAGGACCAGTGGTGAAACAGGGAGGGTAGAGGAAGAGTGGGTAGGAAAGAGGGAACTGGTGACAAGGAACTATATGTGACCTCCTCCCTGGGGGACAGACAACAGAAAAGTGGGTAGGAGGAAGGTGGGGGGAGAAGAGAGAGAAACTGGGAACCAATCAGAATGATTGACATATGAAAACATCCCCCCACCCCAAGGGGACAAACAACAGTGTCCCCTTGTTGTTTGACAGCGGACAGTGTAAGATATGAAGGGAGACAGCAGGCAGTGTAAGATATGAAAATAATAATCATTTATAATTTATCAGTGGGCTACGGGGGGGAAGAAAGGAAAAAAGAGGGGCTGATAGCAAGGGATCCAGCAGAAAGAAAATGTTTTGAAAACAATGATGGCAATATGTGTACAAATTGTTTGACAGACCTGTAAGAACCCCCAATAGAGTGATTTATAAAAAGAGAGTAAAAGATTTACAGCTTCAGAAACGCCTCTACTGCATCCTACAGGATCAGCGTGAGTCGGAGTGGTTTCCATGGGGAGAGGGAGAGGGGGGGAGTCTTCACGCAGTAGTGTGGTCCAGTGGGGAAGCAATGCCTTCACTGTTTCTAAATTCCCATATGATCTCTGGCAACGCACTTAGTTTTCCGACTGAGAATTATCTAACCTTCTGTCCAACACTCTAAGATACATGAAAGGCCTTCAAGAAGTTTGTGGAAAATGCCATTATCCTTTACCTCCAATTTTCCATGAACAGTGTGAAGCCGTATCATCTATCAGGAGCCCTTGTGGTAGGTACCGTGAGCTGTAAAAGGCAAGACCGGTGATTTGAAACTACCACTCAATCCTCAGGAGCAAGATGAGGCTATTTGCTCCTGTAAGGATTTGAAAGCCCTAGAAACGCCAAATTGGCAGCCCTGTTCTGTCCTTCAGGCTCACCTTGAATCAGAATGGACTCCATGCAATGAGTTTTGTCCAATAAACTACTGAGGCTGTCTCTACCGAGTCCAGGTGGGTTGCTTTGCATCTAAATGCACTTTAGTTTGTAATATCGTTTAAAGAGTGGAAGGAGCCCTGGTACTTAATGAATCGTGCCTCTGGCCTGCTAGCCACAAGGTCATGGGTTGGAACCCCAGCCACCTCTGCAAGGGAGAGCTGAGACTTTGTGCTCCTGTAAAGATTTACAGCCCCAGGAACCTGCAAGGACAGCCCCCCTCTGTCTCCTCAGGTCCCTAGGAGTCAGAATGGACTCGGTGGCAGTTAATTTGACTTTTGTTTATTTTGTGTTTTTTTATTTTGTTTTGTTTAAGAAAAAGGCTATCAACATACTAGAAATATGAACTTCTTTCTGATGGAGGATTTTATTTTCATTTTTAAAATGTTCACTGTGTTTATTCTGATTATGAACACAATACAGAGCTTATTTAGAAAACATCTGTATTTTACAACAAAATGGAAAGCATATATAATGTAATATCTGCAGTTTGGGGCCAACTACAAACATTTTAGAGTGCTTTCCTCCAGACTTCTCTCTGTGTGTAGCTGTGACAAGGATAGTATAATATAATAATGCATAGTACTTTCATTTTTCTTATTTCCTCACCGTTCACACACTCTTCGTAGAGGTTTGCATAAACATCACAGCGTAAATCCACTTTCACTTTCCTTATTTCTTCTAGGGCTGCAGCATTTCTAGACTGAGATCACAAAACAAAGGGTTATACTTCCTTTTTATTCTCCTGCACATAACACGGTAAAGTGCTCACACTTCAGGGCCAGAGCACGTGCCATCTAACACAGCCTGTAAGTGAGCATGTCAGGCACAGAGGAGCTTCTTTCAGGGTGGGGCTGACCAGTTTATACAAGCTGATACATCACCATAGATCATCTCTGTAAAATAATATGTAGTTTGGCCTTGTGGTTTTAAAGATTTCCTCTGTGCTATAAATAAGGGTCTGCTCTCTGCTCTGGGCTCCAGACCGCCATAGGAAATGAAATGTTCTATTTAATTGGAGACTATCAGTGCCCACCCCCCAAGCCTTGGAACCCAGCACCTGTCCTTCAGAGCTAATGACTCCTCTGACACAGAGGAATACCACATGTGGATCCCATGTTATCTGACAGGTTGACGGCTAGACCGTCAAGATGAGCTCAGCTAAATCAGAGCTTCAGATGAATGCCAACACTAAGGATGCTTTCTTTGATCCCAACAGCGGAACTGCTATTAAGTACACCGACAGAGTGAAGAGTGGGGTCACCGGGGAACAGATCTGGTTACAGATCAACGAGCCCACCCCCAACGACAAAGGGAAATATGTAATGGAGCTCTTTGATGGCAAAACTGGACACCAGAAGACAGTCGATCTCTCTGGTCAAGGTAAGCGATATTCTTCAAATTATAAAGTAAGTTTGAAAACAGAATGACAGGTTTAGAGGGGTCATACCATTAGGCGATTGGAAGGACACCGGTGATTGTGACGGAGCCGTCTGAGACCAGCGGTGGTGGTAGGAGCCCAAATCCAGCAAAGTAAAGTGGAGCCGGAAAGCATGTGCTCCCCCTCCAGGAGGGCGATGATCAGCACCGCAGGTGGATTCTCAATCCTGAGAAATGCATTTGTTTCTAGTGTCAGACCCTTGAAAAACAGCAAGTGCATTTCACGATGCACGCAATGTGAGCATCTTCATCGAGTCCAAGAAGCCCATCGAGTTGGATGGACTGCAGATCAGAGTGAAGGGAAATCATTAAGAGGACCAGGTTCTGAAGCACAGAAGGTGTGCGATCAAGAGCAGAGGGGCAAGTGTTGGCTTTGGGAAGGAACAGCGGCAATTTTTCCAAAACTAGAGGGGAGTCCATGGGGGGGGGGGGGGGGCAGAGACAACACGAAGGAGACTGAAGGACATTGGAGACCCTCAGACTCTGAAACATCTGCTGAAAGCCTGGGGTCTTCTGGAGGGAATCAGGGAAAGAGAAAAGAGTAATGAGAGGGGCATACCAAAGATTTCCATAAAACAATGTAAATAAACAAAAACAAAGGCAAAATCAGTGTTCAAGACAAGGTGCTTCTTCTCTCTCCCCGCCGTACTTTCCTAAAGAAATAACATTGTCTATGCTAAGTTACTGAAAGAGGTGATGAACTTTGCCTCCCTATCTTTATATATCAAAATATAATCTAAATAAGCCATAACTCTCAGTATTTCTTTTAATCCTGGGAGAATCTATTCCTAATTTAGAAAGCCGTCCTTCACTCTCGGTTCAATTGCTTTGTTCTGCAGTGCTGGCCTTCCTGCTCCTGAAGGCCCTGGCACACCCTGTACTTACCATGGCTCACTGTGCCCTTTTACCCACATACCCAGCTGGACCCCGGAGGGAGCTGAGAAGCTCGGGAGACTTAATAAACAAAACTCCTGTTGGCTGACTGAGCAGGATGCTTGTTAGACAGCCAGCCAACTGTTACTTGAAACAGACTTTTATTTCCCTCTTATCTCTGGTGGAGCTAATCTCTGCCTCTCTGGGCGAAGAGCTAAAGGTCTTTTGAAACATGAAAAGCTTCTAAAATCTAACGTTTTGTAGTTCTTACCCAGAAAGTCTTTGTTCCTTGTGTTGTATCTGTTATGTAAGTTTAGTTTGATCAAGACCAATCACAATGAACCTAGTTGTGAGTGCTGTCAATTTTGACAACTCTACTGTGTCTTTTTCTTTTAAAGCATATGACGAAGCCCTTGCTGAATTCCAGAGGTTAAAGTAAGTCCTTTTGCTAGCAAACACCGCTTAACTGCATTAACATCTCCCCAATAGTCTGAGAGTTAGAGGGGGGAGGGCCTTTTACTGCAACCAGAATGCTCAACACAGCACTCCCCACTGTTCTATTGAGCACCAAGATGTTTCTGAGGCAACAAAATGCAGTCGAGGTTGACTGCTTTAAATTAACACTAAATCTTTCTTTGTTTCTCTCCACCACAGGCAGGCTGCCGTTGCCGAAAAAAGTAAGTACATCATGTTCCCATGGACGTGGTACCGTGCTGAAACGTAGCTAGTTTTCTTTTCTTTTCTTTCTTTTTTCAAAATAATAGGTGCTCTACATATGTTTTCATTTAATCTCTTGAGGAAGAGTGCCTGTAAAAAGAAGGTGTCGGTTACAGCATACAAATGTCACTCAGCTCGGGACTGGTGCTACCAACCAGACACCCTGAGCAGTCTCTTGTCAGAGAGCACACAGAGTAAGGGGGTCAGTTCCTTACAGGCAAAATGTAGCAGACAAATGGATTCACAATGAAGGAAAAGAAAACATTGAAGAAAGATGAAAAATTCGACACCAGGGAAATCACTCTAACGTGTGTCCCAGGAAAGTACTCGCGGAGACTGCTCAGGAAGCTGTGTTACGCTCACGAAGTAGACGGTCTGAGTGAACCACCACCAAGCTGTCACCTCTCGGCACCCAGAAATGTACCAGACGCCCACAGCCCTTCATCCAGTAACTGTGCTTCACGCATAAGATGTTGAGAAGAACTCACGCGCTCTTACAGGACCCCAGGAGTCACTGGCTTCTTTACCCTCAGAATCCAGATTCTTTCTCATTGAGAGAGCCAGAATTTTTGAATTGTTCAGGGTTGAAGGGAACCCAGAGAAGAGATAGGGAAGCCGTCCCTCCACTCTCCGGTGACGGTGACGCCAAGTCATGCAGAAACAGGCGTGTGTCCCTCCCTTCGTCTCTGTCCCTCTCTGGGTTGCTGCCTTGAGTCTGTGACGCTGTTGCTAGTGGTGAATGGGGAGATGCAGAACCGGGGGTGAGAGTGTGCGGCCAGGAGGGAATGGGGTAAGCGGCTAATAGTGACTTCTTGTCTAGTCTCTTATGCCCCAGCCCTCCTGCTCTTGCCAGCACTGAGAAGGCCCAATCCACCAGTCTTGGACAATTTCCCCAATGTTTGACCTCTTCTGGGTCATGGACGGTCCCCAGCTCATGACCGGTTTCCCTGTTCTTCCTCAGAGAGCTCCGTGCTCAGCATGTTCAATGTCTGTGAAGCCCGAGCACGCTACACTTAAACAAAACCATCTCCCAAGGCTCAAGATATAAGATAGGTGGACACAGATTTACGCTTAATGAAAGTTCGGGTGAGCGTCTAGATTCCTAACACGTTGCCCCCTTCTCACACTTCCACTCAGGCACCTCTCCCATGGGTGCTATAGAGCAGAATCTGGAAACTTGACCTCCACTGATCTAATCCAACCCCTCATTTCACAGGCAGGAGACTGCGGCAGGTCACACGGGGAATGAAATATGGGAGATGCTTACGTGTGGTGCAGTGCAATCAGTGTCTCCTGGGGGTGTAGGAACGAGGATCAAGAGCAATGAGTTCGTTGAAGCAGGCCTCAAAAAGAGACCATGGTGGCATTGACTTGCGCCTTTGTAGGGATTTCAGAAAGGCGCCCTCCTGGGGGCGGAGGTGATTGCCCCCAGAGTGCATGGCGTGACTGGAGGAAGAAGCACTAGTTGTCCCTGCTGTGTCCTCTACCTTTTCCCCTGCTCTGGTGCCTCGGTACTGCACAATCACAGATGGTGATGCTGGACAGCACAGTCCCGGGCTAGGGGGGAGCACTCTCGGGAGGGCCTTGGGGAAAGCCCACATCCACACGGGCCTCCAGATCCCTGTGACACACAGCCCTTCCATGACGCAACCTTGCTCTTCATGGGGAAACCCAGAAATTAGGCAGGGCAGGACTTGGAAGCCATCCAGAGAGATCTGCTTTGCCTCCCAGAGCTAAAATAGCTAAAAATAGCCATGAAAAGCATTGAGCGGTTGATTTGATAAGGCAATCTCAAAGGGAACATTGTAGGTATAGATACAGGCAGCTGCCAGCCCACGTGCGTGTGAGTGAATGAAGGATTAAAACTCCCGAGTCTCTGGATTGTTTCCTTAGCCTAGGAAACCAGCTGGAAAATGCCTGGCAGGAGAGGGAAGGGCATTCACTGGGCTGGGCTACTTGAAAGTTCTCCTGGCTCCTCATTCCAGAGATTAACCAGATAGAGTTGTGCTTACAGATCGGGCCCGGGTGCTGGGCGGCCTCCCAGATGTGGTCACCATTCAGGAGGGAAAGGTAAGTATGGAAGCTCCCATCTCCATTTCTCCCACCCCAAGGATGCAGTCAGTGCCCTTGACTTTGTCTCATCTTTCACCTTGCAGTTACCATCTCACCATTTTCATCTTGTTCCATCGCTGATTAGAGGGAACTTCAGAATAGTTCACTTCCATGTTAAAATGTTCATATTTATTTTGGTACTCCGAAGAGTAAATATCAAGATTCTGGTCCTACTTAGCAATTTGTCTCATGGGGACTTATATAGGCCACTGATTGTCTTTCTATATTACATTTTGAAACCACGAGAAGCTGAAAGGGCCCAATCATAACTTTGTGACAAATAGAATTAAAGAAACAAACGGCCCCTATTACTAACTGTGCTATTAACTCCCTCAGACTTGAAGGAAAACCTGCTACCCAGTGGCGTTTCTGTAGGCTCTCTCCTGATGAAAATGGATTTCAATCCCATTTCTAAACTGGGATTCGCTGGCTCTATAATAACCCTTCTGAAAAGTAACGAACAGAATTTCTCACTTGGACTCACTTTCTTCCTTCCTAACACTTCATTAAAACAAAAGCCAACAGACAGTCCATGGGGGCAGGGGAGTTTGCTATGGAACAGACTTTTCCCTGCTCAAATTGGCAGCCGAGAAATATTAAGGATGGGGGGGAACGAGGGTAGTAAAATCCGGCACATGTAAATGTGTGACATGACCACAGTTGGCTGGGCTGCTTTTATTTTTAAACTCTGTTTTCCATTTTTCTCTACTAATGAGGTTACAAATAGCCGATCTTTGGGTCATAAGGAGAATAAAGAGAGAGAATGTATGTGAAAGCACTTTGAAGGTCTGACTCAAACATGAAGGAGAGACAAGAGTCTTCCGTGACGCCTAACATGCTTGGGAGCCTTTTGTTTGGTTTTGGTAAAAATTTTAACCCCAGAGTAATCAGTTTCTGAAATGCAAAATTACCGATTGTGCTGAGTGAAAAAAAAAAGCAAGAATGGAATTTAAACTGTAAAGTCAAGTCAACATGACTAGCCACCAGCAAAATGCTAATTAAAACCACAATTAATTATCACAAGATACCTATCAAATGCCTGTCATTAAAAAAAAACAGTGACAACAACCATGCTGGTGAGTATGTGGAGAAACTGAATCATTTGTGCTTTGCTAATGGGAATGAAATAAAATGGTACCACCCAATTGGATAAATTTCTCTGAGATACAGAGAAATGAAAACTTACACACACACACACACACACATCAACCAAGATAGGAAGGTTTACAGGAGTTTACTTCATAAAGCCCCAAACTGGAAACAGCCCAGAGAGCATTCACTGGGTACATGAGAGGGCTTTAAACATTTTGCTGGAAAATGGAATGAAAAGATCGTGGAATTTTCCCACAGACTTTTTGAGGCCCCTCGTATACATCCCATGGCATATTGCTCTGTGATAAAAGGGCGGGCTACTGATACACACAACCTCGATGACTCTGCAATTGTGCTGAGTGAAAAATGGCCAACAGGCTGCATACTGCACAAGTCTGTTTACAGAACATTTCAGAAACGGGAGCAGACTCGGGATCGCCAGTCAGGGTGAGGAATGGGTTGGAAGATGAAAGACAGCTGTGACTATGAGAGGGCAAGCTCACTGCCATCAAGTCAATCCTGACTCAGCAACCCCATTGACCGAGGAGAGCTGCCTCCTTGCGTTTCCAAGGCTATAAATCTTAACGGGAGCAGAAAGCCTCATCTTTCTCCCTCAGAGCAGATGATGGATTTGAACTGCTGACCTTGCTGTTATCAGCCCAACTCATAATAGGCCACCAGGGCTCCTTTAACAGGGGCATCGGCGCAATCATTGTGGTCATGGACATTTTCTGTATCTTCACTGTGCCTGTGATTCACAAGTCAAACGTGGACACCTAGGTACACACACACACAACAAAGGAGGACACGTGAACCGGGGGATGCAAATTGGATAACTGAAGCCTACGATTGTCGATATCCTGGTTGTGCAATTGTGCTATCGTTTCACAAAACGTTGTCATTGAGAGAGACTAGGTAAAGGGTACACAGCATACGACAGTATTAGCTCTTATAACTGTGAATCTACAATGACCTCCATAAGCATTAAAAAGCATAAATTTAAACCGTAAGCCTCAATATGGTCTTTTAGAACGAGAGGGTTGCAGCCAGGTGGGGGATCTGTTACTTCGGAGTATGCTTTGGTAGCACACCTTTGCAGCTGCAACAGATGGGGGGTGGTTGGGGAAGAGACGTAAAATGAGGAAGACGGAGTTTGAAGATTGGTTACATTATCTGAAGCAGCTGATAGGTTTTCCTGCTGGGCTTCCTGATGCAAATAAGATGCAAATGGGAGCAAGTGTTGATTATGGCAATCAGAATCTCTATTGAAACTGAGTCCATAAAACCAGAGTGGAGCAAAAGGCATCTTGTATTTATGAAAGAGATGGTGGAGATGGAAAATGGAAGTAACCTTCTCAATGTGGTTTATGTGTTTGGTGTGGTAAAAATATATGAAACAAAACATTTGCCTTTTCAATAATTTTTACATGTGCATTCCAGTGACTGATTATACTCATTAATCTATGCAACCATTCCCACTATTCTCTTCCAAATGAGAAGTCCTTAGTGATGCAAACTTTTAATATACTTGGCTGCTAACTGAAAGGTTGGTGGTTCGAATCCACTCAAAGATGCCTCAAAAGGAAGGTCTAGAGATCTAAGTCTAAAAAACCAGCCGTGGTAAAAACCCGGTGGAGCCCAGCTCTGCTCTGAGACACCGAGGTCACCCTGAGTCAGTACTGATTGGATAGCTCCTGAGTCCCACATCGAGGAGTCTTGGTGGCACTGCAGGAGAAAGAAGCAGCTAACCAAAGGCAGTCAAGGCCACTAGTCTCTACAGAAGAAGAGGGGCGGTCTATTTCTGTAAAGATCTGCAGCCTGAGAAGCCCTGTGGAGCAGCTTTCCCTCGTCCTCCGTGGTCACGGGGAGTCAGGATCCACTCGAGGGCAATGAGCTTGTTTTCTTTTTCGTCGTTGTCTTGGTTCCCAAGTTATTCCCCTACCATCACCATGAACGCAGGGCACCGTGCACAATGCCTCCCTCCCACAATGCCTCACTAGCACCGTGGCAGCCACTAATGAACATTGGTCTCTGTACATCTCATGTAAGGAGGGCGATACGGTATTTTCTGTGTGTGATTCCCCCACTCGGCACATGTTATGAAAGTTCATCCGGGCTGTGGCATGATCAGGGCTTCTCTGTCTGGCCGAGTGATGTCCCCTTGTGCACGCAGCCTACAGTTTGTTTATCCACATTCCGTCTTGTTTTCCCTGATCAGCTCCCCAGAAGCTAGAAAGCTTCAGCCTTAAAGACACCTGCTCAAATATTATTTTAAATCATGCTTAAAAATAATACCTTTAAACCCTGGTCTAGTGTGTTCGTATCTGTCCTACAACCGATCATGTCAAACTACCAGACAAATCTCTCTCTCTCTCTCTCTGAAATTATACACCAACACTCCATTCAAGTTTGTAGACTAATCACTGACATATATTCTTCACGTTGTTTCAATATTTTCATTATTTCTATTCTAGTTGTCTCACTCCTGGTTGACTTAAATAATTTCCTACCCGCAACCTTCCCATCTATTCCATAGAATATCTATGGTCCATTTGTTCCACATAGATGAGCTTTTTTTAAAAAAGAATGCCATATTCCAGGGTAACGATCTTTACCCACCAGAGCGATCCTTCAAGTCAGATCATCATGATAGCTGACGTATTTCCTTCCCTCCCATGAAACCTGTTTTGCAGGCCCTCAACCTCACTTGCAACGTGTGGGGTGACCCCGCTCCAGAGATCTCCTGGATGAAGAATGAGAAGGCTCTGGCCTCGGACGACCACTGCAACCTCAAATTCGAGGGAGGAAAGAAGGCTTTCTTCACCATCACGGGGGTGAGCTCCGCCGACTCAGGCAAGTACGGCCTGGTGGTGAAGAACAAGTTCGGCTCCGAGACCAGCGACTTCACCATCAGTGTGTTCATCCCGGAGGAGGAGGCCAGGAAGGCGGTTTCCGAGCCCCAAAAAGGAAAGAAGAAGTCCAAGTGACTGTGGTCATGTGGGTGATGTCCCAGGAGAACCGATGCTTTGTGCTGCCTGTGTGGAGGGTTTGAGTTAAATCGAAGAAGGCCTTTGTAGTTTCTACTTTCTTTTTGTGCTGTATGTGGGGGGAATTGTTGAATCTTTCATTCTTATATATATGAATGGTACCAACAAATGACATTTTAATAGTTTTTTCTTTATCTACAAATTATGCAAAAAAAAAATGCCATTGGTAGCAAACACATTAGAAATGGTTTTAAGGAAGAGACCAGAATGAAGATGGAAGGGTGTGGAAGGATGATCAGAGAACAGAAGAATGTATTGTGGAGTTAAGTTTGGATTTAGTTGGAGCTTTACCAGTAAATTCTCATGGATTGCAATTTTACTTATCAAATCAGAGACAAATGGTTAAGCCAGCCAATTTATCCCGTGTGTTGTTACAGTGTAACTGGAAACCTTCTTGGTCTAAATAAAGAGGTCACACTCCTTTTCTCCTCACCACCAGAGCGTTCCCCTTATTCTTACTGCTTCTCTGTTCCGTCAGCAGGCTCTGCTTCTTATTCTCAACACTTCTTTTAGCACATATTCTGGTTTGAATGCCTTTTGGCATAAAGCAGTATATTTATCATGTAGCCAGAGAAGTCATCTGAGGACAATTCGTTCAGGGGGGTGACACTGCAGTCATCGTATAATGCCTGAAAAACTGGGTGCAATATTAATTCAGTGTCATGAGATGGTGTGGGTGTCAATGTGCCAGAACTTCCAGCAGAACGTTCTGGCCTGGAGCCAACTGCAGTCGCCTCTCCCCTCTGCAAAGGGAATACTATAGATACGTGACTGCAGAGTAGATCCCTATGGGAAAGGCCAAAGACAGGGAAAGAGGTCGAGTAGGATCTGATCTCCCACATCAACGGGCTGTGCAGGCGAGAGACCCCATGTCAGTTACCTTTTAACCAGTTGCCATTGGGTCAACTTCTACCTATGGCGGCCCCAGGTGGGTCAGAGTAGAACTGCACCTTTGGAGTCTCAATGGCTGGCATGTTAGAAGTACAGTTAGTCTTTGACTTATGAGAGGGTTCCAGTCCTGCAACTCCTTCAGATCAGGAAGTGTCCCTCCCCCACCACCACCACCGCCCCACCCCAGCCAGACCACTGAGGAGGCTTTAATAATAATCCAAGCACGAGTGATCGCCAGGAAAGATGAAAGTACAGAGATTAAGATGGTATTTAGAAGATTAAATAACCAGGATGTGGGTGAAAATCAGAGAGAGGTTAAGAACATGGATTGTTCAGGGAGACTCGAATACCAAAAAAATATTTGGCAATGTGGCAATATATAAGATCAGCATAAAAATCATTCCAAATCTTGTATATTAAGGAAGAGAGGTATTAAAAAGAAATTAAGAAAACAATATTATATGCAATCGCCATTCAAAGATGAAATGATTAGGAATAAACCTAGCCAGAGAAACAAAAGACTTGCACAAAGAAAACTATAAACACTACAAGAAACCAAAGGAGCTCTTCATAAATAGAAGAATGGAGTATGTTCATGGATAGGAAGATTTAATATGAAAATGCCCATACTCAGAACCAATAATGAGAGTAGTGGAGGGGATGGGGGGAGTAGGGGCTAGGAGAACCAGTCACATTGATCTACATAGAACCCCTCCCTGGGAGACGGACAACAGAAAAGTGGCTGAAGGGAGACATTGGGCCATGTCAGACATGACAAAATAAAAATAATTTATAAATTATCAAGAGTTCATGAGGGAGGAGGGAGGGGGAAAACGAGGAGCTGATACCAAGGGTTCAAGTAAAAAGAAAATGTTTTGAGAATGATGATGGCAACAAATGTACAAATGTGCTTGACACAATGGAAGTATGTATCGATTGTGATAAGAGCCATAGGAGCCCCCAATAAAATGATTTTTTAAAAAAAGATGGATTAAGGACCTACATGTAAACCCAGAACTATAAAGATCATCAATGAAAAAATAGGGACCCTAATATATAGCATACACCCACTATCAAACATAATGAAAAACAAACACAGCTGAAAACAAAGGAGATGACTGGGGCCTCCTAGAAATAAGACACTTATGTGCATCAAAAGGCTTCATCAAAAAAAAAAAAATGAACCCACAAACTGGGAGAAAAAATTTTGACAATTATATACCAGACAAGAGACTAATCTCTAAAACGTATGAAAAACTTCAATACCTCAACAAGGTAGGTAAGAAAATATGCAGAAATGCTCACAATCAATAGTCATTTGAGAGATGCAAATCAAAACAACAAGGAGCTCCTACCACACCCTGGTCTTGATAACTAAGGTAAAAAAAAAAAAAAAAAGCAAACATTAAAACAACAGAAAATAAGCAATGCTGGAGAGTGGGTGAAGTGGAACCTCGTGCCCTGCTGGTAGTAGTGTGAACAGCAGGATGTTGCTTCCTCACACAATTTTGAATACTATAGGACCCATCAATCCCTCTGTTTTATGTATCCTTTCCAGAAAGAAAACGCACATGAGCATGAACAGACATATGCACACCCTATTCATCACAGAAACATTCACAATAACAAAAAGATGGGAACAACCCAAATGTCCACAGGTGGAAGAATGGATAAATGAACTTTAGTACATACATACAACCCATTGCTGAAGAATAATGATGACACGGTGGCATACGTCACAGCCTGGATGCCTGTGATGGACATTGTGCTGAGTGGGATGTTATTGTTAGGGTCTAGTTAAGTGGGTGTAATTCATAGGAACAGATGAATGGAGCACGAAGAATCAAACGGTCCTGTGCCATTCTCACAATTGTTACGTTTGAGCTCATTATTGCAACCACTGTATACATCCATCTCATTAAGGGTCTTTCTCTTTTTCGCTGCCCTTCCATTTTCCCGAGAATGACGTGCTTTTCTGGGGATTGGTCTCTTTTGATAACGGATTACATGAGATGAAGGCTTGCCATCCTGACTCCAAGGAACACTCAGACTTTATTTCTTCCAACACAGATTCGTTTGTTGAGTGAAGTTAGTTGATCCCAAAAGGACAAATAGTGTATAAGACCACTGTTATTGAAAAATCAAGATAAAAGTTTCCATGCCAGAAACCGTCTTTGATGGTTACCAGGGGTGGGAAGGGAAGGAAAAAGAAGTAGTAGACTAGTTGGTAAACAGGTGTTAACTTGGGGGGAGGGGAAGATAATATCCCATGAGAGGGAGATGGATTAGAAGGTGGGATGGGCAACAGATGAATGGATCAAAAAAATGTGGTACATACATACAGTGGAGTACTACACATCCCTAAAAAATCAGCAATGAACTCATGAAGCACATTACTGCATAGGAAGAACTGGAATAAATCATGCTAAGTGAAGTAATCCAAGCACAAAGGAGATGTACAACATGAGTCCACTGAGGTAAGCTTAAAAAAAAATGGGGCATAGAGAAAAAGCTACTATGTACATACATCCCTGCGGTGAGGTCCAGCAACTATGGCAGAGGCCAAACCCAATCCAGGGATACATATGGCAGCCAACTAAATAAGAGGGGGAAAGAAAGAGAAAAAAAAAGACATGGGTAGGGGGGAGCGGGGCACTAACCCACCCAAGGGGAGGGTATTGTTTATATCTCCACAGGAGAGGGAGAGAGAGACCAGGATTCAACCTGATGCACCAAGATGTGAATATAGCATACCGGCATGTACTAGGGAACCAATAGAGAGGTCTGCAGGGTTGGCCGGGCCTTGATCCCAACTATGTGGACACCCCTCCCCTCAGAAGAATGCATTTCAGAGGACAGCACTGGGGCTACAGCTTGGGGAGAGATGCGCGTCTGATTAGAGCATATGGGTGAAACAAAATGGGATAGAGAGGGAGGGGAGGATATCCTGGCCCACCAAGCCCCAAGGACGATATTCCCTCTCGGAGCAGACAACCCACAGAGAGGACCATAAGGCCAGCCACAGCACAAGACACAAGATCCTTCACTAAACCATAGCGCTGAGGGGGACGACACTGGAGACACATTGCGGGAAGCGTGCACAATCTGACCCCATCACACTGGGGCGAAACACTAAGGGCATGTAACAGAGCAGCAAGGGGAGCAACGTGATGTGTGGCAGCCCATCAGACTCAACTGGAAAACATTCATAAAGGCCAACAAACAGACCTTGAACTATTTATAGGTTTTTCCATTTTTGTCAGTAGCTTTCTTTTTGTTGTTGTTATTGTTTTGTTGGTCTTGACTTCCTTTGTTGTTTTATTTGGCTTTGCCTGGTTTTTGCACTTATTAATATATCTGTATGCCTATCTAGATAAGATAGGCGGGATAAATAATTCAGAGATGAAAAGAACAGGATCAATGGCTCCAGGGGGACACAGGAGAAGGGGAGGTGGGAGAAAGGAAGGGGGAAGGGGACCAACCCAGGGACAAGGGAACAACAAGTGAACTAAAATCAATGGAGAGAAGGGCGAAAGATGCCTAGTGGGGCTTAATCAGGGGCAATGTAGCAGCGAGTAATTACTAAACCCAAATGAAGGTTTAGTGAGGTGGGACATGATGGTGGGACAAGAGTAAAAGGAAATAGAAGAAAGAACCAGGAGGCAAAGGACATTTATAGAGGTCTACATACAGGCATGAACATATGTAAATCTATATATAAGAAGAGAAGAATAGAACTATGTACTAATAGCTATATGTTCAGAATTAAGGTTGCAGATAGACATTGGGCCTCTACTCAAGTACTCCCTCAACACAAGAACACTTTGTTCTAACAATCCGGCATTCTGTGATGCTCACCTTCCCGACACAATCACTGAAGACAAAATGGATGCGTGGGTAAATGTGGTGAAGAAAGCTGATGGTGCCCAGATATCAAAGATATAGTGTCTGGGGTCTTAAAGGCTTGAAGATAAACAAGCGGCCATCTAGTTAAGAAGCAACAAAGCCCACATGGAAGAAGCACACCAGCCTGTGTGATCATGAGGTGTCGATGGGATCAGGTATCAGACAGCTAAGACCCAGAACAAAATCATGCCCATTGTGAATGGGGGAGCAGGGGGAATGGGGTGGAGACCCAATGCCCATCTGTAGACAATTGGACATCCCCTCACAGAGGTGTCACAGGGAAGAGATGAACCAGTCAGGGTGCTGTATTTCACCAATGAAATACACTACTTTCCTCTGGTTCCTTGGTGTTTCCTTCTCCCCACTATCATGACCTCAGTTCTACCTTACCAATCAGATTAGACCAGAACATGCACACTGCTACAGATAAGAGCCCTCAACACAGGGGATCCAGGATAGATAAACAGTTCAGGGCCAACAATGAAAGTAGAGATACAAGGAAGATTAGGGAAGGTGTGGGGAGAAAGAGGGAATCGATCACAAGGATCAACCTATAATCCCCTCCCAGGGGGACGAACAATGGAAAAGTGGGTGAGGGGCAACGGAGGATGATGTAAGATATGAAAATCATAATCTAT